TACAGATAAATAAACAACTAAGAGATAAACACTATGAGATAAACAATAGAAGACAAAAATAACATTTGATTGGCTAGAACATATGTAAATAAAATCACATATCGATCATTATGTTATACAATACATATCAATCATCATGTTACTGCAGTACTTTAATTAAATATTTACTTCAATTGAAAAATTAATATATTAACACTATATAGAAAAACCAAACCGTTTTTACTATGCAGTGCATATTTACTAGCAACACTATTTTTTGTCAAGCTTTACATTATCATATTAAACAATATGAAAAATAACTAAGGATTATTGAAACTTATACAGAGTATATATATTAATTTAGCTAATAACATATATGGATAGTTCAGTTTAATAATGTGATTGATTGTATATCACAGTGATATTCTTGAAAATTAATATATAAAGGTACTTAAATTCGGAGCAACGCGAAGGGTCTTACACTAGTGATTAAAAAATCTTCAAATGAAATATATGATCTAATTTGTATATGTACTAACTTTTCTGAAATTTTCAAGGTCATAACACCTTTTTATGAGGAGATATAGGTGTGGGAAAACTTTTGTCAGGTATTGTAAATATTTATAGACTTAAATAACTTCTTTTAATACTTAAATATATATATTTTAATATTTAGGATAACCTCATGGTCAGCAGCTTTTATTTGTATATATATGCTAAACTCATTACAAGTTGCTACACATCTTTGGCAGCTGATTTTAGTGAGTATACTGTATACTAGTTACACATACAACTTTTGGTTGTTTATTTAAGTAGTCCACCCAAATATTCTACACTAGATGCCATACCTATAATCTGACTAAGGGATTTAATGTTTTAACCACTGTTATAACCGAAATTTTCACCTCTACAACTTTTATTAGAAGTAGAATAGAGGTTCATTAGTAAAAAAAAATGATCCGTTCTTAAGGAATTCCAACAAAAAAATGAAACATTTAATAGTAAAAATCACACGATTAAACATGAATTAAAAATTATATTTAGGCGTAATTATAATGAATGTTATCAGTTATAATCAGTGTTGGGCTCGCTTATAAGTCCAGTAAAATTGAACTAGAACTGGACTTATAGGTCCAGTGGTCCAGTTTATAAGTCCAGTAGAGCGGACTTTTAATCCAGAGTCCAACACTGGTTATAATGCTACCACTACGTAATACCTTAAGTTTCGACAAATAGTACCCCCTGTTAAAGTACCCACACACCATCAATTTTGTCAAATTAAATAATAAATTGCAGGTCCTGGGAGGGGGTACTAATCAATTTTTAAAGCCAGGAATGTAAAACCCCGGGTACTATTGCCGAAATCCCAAAAATTAAAATTCGTAATAAATTCGTAATAAATGTTTTTCTGTAAATTTGAAATTTATCAGTTTAAACGAGTTCTTTGATACACTTGCGAATCATTGCTTAAAAAGGAAATTTATTGATAGTATATAATCGTTCAGCAGAATTTCTTTTTTTTAAGTGTTCGCACTTGTGCATTAACATTAATAGACCCGATAATTGGATTTTAAAATGACAAAAAAATTCTTTGAAAAACTTTCCAATAATTATCTTGAACTTCTTAATGATGAAGAAGATTTTAATGTAATCATTAATGTTGGAGAATCTCCAAACATTAAAATATTCCAAGCACATTCAGCAATTTTAAGATATAGATCCTTATATTTTCGTAATGAATTAGCAAATATTAGCAAAAACAAAAATAACGTTAAAACACTTGATTTAAAAAATGTTTCTATTCAACAATTTGAAGTTATTATTAAGTAAGTCATTTTAGATTTATAATTTATATGATGTTGAATGAAAAAGTCTAAATTTTACTTAAACTTAATATAAGATATATTTATGGAGGGGTGATCTTACTTGAAAACCAAAACGCATCATTTATTTTTGAACTTATGCTTATTGCTTATAAATTTCTTTTTGAAGAATTGGCAAAGTATCTCGAAACACATTTAATTGAAGCGGAAGCTCATTGGCTTCGTTTACAATTTACCTATATTTATCAAAAAAGTTTTCAGAATAATGAGCTTCAACAATTACAAAAATGGTGCAATGATATTATAGTAAAGTATCCTGATAAAGTTTTTGAATCAGAAGACTTCGTCTCGCTTCAAGAAAATAATTTAGTCTCGCTTATTAGTCGGGATGATTTACAGATGGAAGAAGTAAAAATTTGGAATCATGTTATTGAATGGGGAATTGCTCAAAATTCCGGTTTACCATCAGATCCTGAAGACTGGACTCATGAAAATTTTCTAACTTTAAAGACCACATTACAAAATTGTTTGCCTCTTATCCGTTATTTTCAGATGTCTGGTGATGACATTTTTAATAATGTGCAACCATATCATCAAATTCTTGAAAAAAACCTTTGGAAAGATATAATAAAAAAGTTTATGACAAATCAACCGATATTATCAAATGTTCTTCCGCCTCGTGTAATTTTAACACCAACATTACCGACTAGAATTACTGAACCATTTTCAGCAGTTATTAATGAAGTACATGCAGCAGAAATTGTTTCATGGGTTGATAAAAAAGATAATCCATATTCCGTAACCAATAATCCATACGAGTTTAAGTTAATTCTTCGTGGAACTAGAGATGGTTTTACCAAGGATTCATTTTGGAATTTATGTGATAAGCAAACGCATCTGGTTGTAGTTATGAAGGTTAAAGGTACTGATGAAATTCTTGGTGGATATAATCCTATTGGATGGGATAAACCAGGTCAAGCTGGTAGTTTCTATAAGAATTGCAAAGATAGCTTTATTTTTTCATTGAAAAATGGTGCCATTCAAAATTCTATTTTAAGTCGTGTAATACAACAAGAAAAAGCAATTCGTAATGTGAAGAATTATGGGCCAACTTTTGGTTATGGCAGCGATTTACGTATGGTGAATGATTTTAATCAAGATCGTCAATGTTCGTGTTATCAACGGTCATATGAAAAACGAATTAGAGATGCATCTACATACGAAAGTATTGGTAACACATATTTTTCGGTGGATGAATATGAAATATTCCAGATTAATAAAAAATTCTAAAAGGTTTATGACAATGATGTAAATAAGTAATCTAATTATTATAGATTTAAATATAACATCGTTAATATTATTCATTTGCTATCTTTTATATCTTAGAAACTGTAAGATAAAAAGATAAAATTTAGTATTCTGTCTTTTAAAAAGCAATAATGAACAGACTAGCGTTGTAAACTTAATTAAATTAATTTGGATATAAAAGGTAAAAATCAAATTAATTATATTTTTGTATATTTAATATTTTGTATTATTTAAAGACCGATAGTATCGTATAGCATAAAACTACGTGCGTACTTACGTACGTATACTGTATGTACAATAAAAGGCATTACATCAAGCTGTGTATATTATATCAATGACAAAGTATTTATTTTAGCGTTTAAATTTAATTAAGTTTATAATGCTAGAACATAGAACAGTCTTTGGTTGCAAATTTTAATGGTATTTTTATATCAATAAACGATAATTAGATTTAAACGATGTTACAGTATAAGGCAAGTTCCGTGCTTGGAGTTTCCCTGAAATTAGATTTTCTTGCATTAGTGAGTGATTACCACATATCCTTATCGTTTATCAAAAGTCTTACCGTATTTTCGCGTAATAACGCGCAGAGGTACTCTAGATCTTAAACAAAGCCCTAAAAAAAACTAAAAAAATGCACCCAAGACGCGGAAATTTCAAAATAAGGCAAAGATTCATTTTAATTGGATGTCGTTCTAGTCTGCCAGTTATTATAACTTAAAAAAGCCTTAAAGATGTGAACTTTTGTTTTTTTTTTCTTTTAACGATAACTCTAAATTTTATAAAATAGCTGTAACGATAATCTTAACCGTACATCTTAAATTGGCATGATTTCCACAATACAGCAATATACAGAATTACTGAATTAAGGGATGGAATCTAGACTAATAAAATTAGCATTTAAAGTTTAAAGTCGAAGATATACATTTAAATTCGTTATTATACAGATTTAGAAATAAAATATAAGAGCATTTAAATTTCGACGTGATAATATTGGTTAAATTTTTGATTCTATTACAGTACGAGACAGCAAGTCCCAATAACTTTTAAATAAAAGTGGTCAAATTTTAATCTATGCTACATAAAAAACAAGTAACATGATCGGATAAATTTTAATCAAATATAATAAATTTTTAAAAAAACTAATTAAGCCAAACTGTAACTGTATTAATAAAAAATTTTGGTTAAAGTATAAATTAAATTTGAATTACTAACTAATTATTTTTGAAAAGCTAATTTGAGTTGTCGGGATATGCTGTTCCGTACTGTATAGTTCAGTAATTCGCAAATTATTGAAATTATATGTGTCGTATTTTTTTAAAAAAAAATCATTACCAATGTTTTTCATCTAGTGATTTAATTTGGTAATCTTAATTTTTATTTAATACAAATCCCATTAGCCCAACATTCAAATTAAAAGTCAATTAAATCAGTTTATTGGATGCAACATATAAATAAAGAATAGTATTTATAATACTTTTGAAAATGAGTATAAAGAATTGTAATACAGTAAATTTATACAAACAACTATTATATAAACTATTAATACTTCTATTTATAATCTAAAGTTTAAGATTATGTTTGAATAAATGCAACTGTATGCATAAACATATTATAAGTCCTAATAATGAAATTTCTAACAAATAGTCCAAAATTTTCTAGTGGTATTACTTGTTTCAGCGCCACGTAACGCGACGCCAGAACATCTTTAGATGATCGATTTCGCATCTTTTTATTATATCGTTTAATGCATTCAAACAATCCATGTTCTTCATAATTAAGTAATTCTTTAGTCAACAGGTCAGCATCTTGTATTGCATTGTTTGCACCTTAAATAATAAATAAATGAATAAATAAATAAATATATATACAGTATATATATGAATGTTACTAAATATTCTTTAATAAACACCAACCTAATCCTAATATCGGATTCATAGCATGAGCTGCATCTCCTAGTAAAACTGTTCTACCATCTTTCCAATCTGGAACAGACAGTGGATCAATATCACGAAGTTGACGACGTCTTATAGGATTATACGTTCGAAATGGATATTTTTTAGAATATCCTGAATTAGAGTATAGAGCTAATGATAAAATTTCAATTATTAGATCTCTTAATTCACCAGGTGGGCGTAATTGTTTGATTCTTAAAATTGTATGTTTAACAACTGATTCTGGATTATCATCGTCAACTAATTTATTATTTTCATCTTTAATATCGAGAATTGTCGGATAATGATATGCAAAATTAAGCCTATACCGTGGTTCATCAGGTTCATTGATTGGTATATAACGCATCGATGAAAGAAACGCATCTCCATTTTTACCAAGTGACCACTGAATAATAGCGTTTTTGTAAATTTTCATTAATTTATCTGCCATATATTTTGGTATTACAATATCTATATCAACACTGGTCACACCGGGGTCAAGAATTTTTAAGTTAGGAACCATTTGTTTTCGAACTATCGAGATAAATAATATAATTAATTTTGTTAAATAAATAAATTTTATGATACTGTAAGAGGTAAGTATAACTTACTTGGTGAATTAATTCCATCTGCACCGATTAATAGATCTCCAAATTCCCTGGTTCCATCATCAAATAATGCCCAAACTCCATTTTCACTTTCTTCATATCCGATGCATTTTTTGCCCCATTGGACATCAACACCATTTAGCAGAACATTCCTTAATATATGACGATAAGCAACTATGCCAGCAAAGTCATGTTTAAGAGGTTCCATCTCATAAATATTAAAGTTCTGTTGTGGCGCACTAAATAAAAGTTTTCCTGCGTGATCAATAACCATTGTACTATGATGTTCCTTCGGAGTTGGACTCGGTATTGCTTCAGTCAAGCGATCTTGAATTTTGGATGGCGTGCAATAGAATAAAGAGGTAACTCCTTTTCTACTAATGCAGATGTTGTAACCTTCCCATCGTTCTATTTACAAAAAAAATATTTAATTACGCGTCAATTATACAGTATTAAATCGCTTTATTTTTGAAACCAATTTAATTTACATTGAAAGATGAACCTTGAGGACTGGTCTCTCGATCGAATATTTTAACATTAAATTTCTGGTCAAGATTTTTTCGAGCTGATTGGTAAAAACTAAGTCCACCTATACCTGCTCCAACTATCAAAATTGTTGGAATTTTGTTTACAGGGGTTTCCATTCTTTAATCTTAATTATAGAATTCTTTTTATCATGCTCTGTCCGCGAGCTGCTCTATATATATATATATAAGAAATCATTCAATCCTAATATGTGAGTGCGTGAGAATGAAAACCAGTAACTGATCATAGTAAATCATTATAATCAGTTCCAGGTTTTTATTCTCACGCACTCATATATATTTATTTATTTTCAAATTTCATGCTTATTACATATCTGATAATTCTGTTCATGCATAAAGTTAATTAATGCACAAAGTTTAAAATACGTATTGTACGTACGTACGTACGTACGCATAATGATAGCCTTTTTGGTGTTGATATAAAATTACTAATTTGGAGATATATTCAATCAGTAATATTTATATTTATATGGTAATTCCCTTAAAATCGAAAAATCACCCAATTTCCTATGATTTTAGGATAGATTAGTGGATAAACCCAAATAATATATTTTTAAGGTTACATTTGTGCTTATTTTTCCTATCTTATTTGGTTATTGTGATTGGGAGGTTGCCTTTTGCACTATCGCTACGTATACCGATACTCCGATACGTACTCCTGTGCTCGATATAGTTATAGATAATAAAAACCAATTATACCAAATTTAGAATTGATAAAGTAGTGCTAGTTTTGAAAAATATCAGCTGATTTTTAAAACTGTTAATATTACTCTTACAGTGATCCGTTTTGGATAATTGCCATCCTGATATTACTGTAAACTGCCCCGAATAGTAGACTCCCCATGTACTAAATCCGGGTGCAAATCACTGGATCTTTAATAATTGCTTTTTAAAAAATCTGGATTGCCAGTTATAAATGCTAAATGTGTATACATTTCAAATTTTACATTGTATGTTATAAAACTTTCGGCCGTGTACTAGATCCGAGGTTTATCAAAGTATTAGATCCGAGTTGTTTATACTGTATGGCAGTTTTTATGAATGCTTCAGACTGGCAAATTACTATGATCGCCAATCACATAGAAATCTTTTTTTAAAAATTGGCACACAAAAGTCACAATTTCAAAGATTTCTTGTCAAATTCTGATTCTTTAGTTTAGCATCCATGAGTGTACTAGATCTTGCTTTGTTTAACCAAGTGGTTACAAAAATTTCCAGAATTTTTTAAAATTTCTCTTAACAATCAATATGTATTTTTAAATGCTGTTAGTGTTGAAAAATTAAAATCGGTTCAAATTAATTAATAAATAAGGTAACTATGCGACGCTGTCGCACTAAAAAATTGTGTTATATTCAAAGTTTTTTGTATTGTTTTAATCGCTATTTCAATTGGTTATTCAAAGGTAAGCTAACACTTATTTAATTTTTTTATATTATTTTTATTTTTCATGGATGTAATTTATTCTTATTCACGTTAATATAGCCTGTAAGTGCAAATTGTAATGATTATTTATTAATTGGCAACGATGTACTTATGATCTATTCATTTCTTATTTAATTTCTTTTTATTTATATTTATTTAAACTGCGAGGTAATAGTCGTTTATCAAAATATTATAATAATTTACAGTATAATCGAAGTACTTAAGATAAACTAATCATTTTCATTTAATTGTATTAAATTAGTATACTGTATTTAAGATTATTTTATTAAATAAAATAGTCTTATTATACAGTAGACTAATTTATTACTAGAGATTGGACTAGTGATACGGGTCGATGAAAAAATCGTGGGCCGGGGTCGATCCTAAAAAGGCTCGGGCCGGTCGACCGGGCCGACCTTTTTGCTAGTGTAATTTTTTTTTGATCAAAATCAGTCAA